AAATAAATAAGAAGGTTTTTTTTTTTTTAATTTTAAGACAGAGAGGCAAGGGATGTAGCTCAGTGCGTGGAGTACTTGCCTAGCATACAGGAAACCCTGGGTTGATCCCCAACATGACATAAGTCAGGCTTGGGGCACATCCCTGTCATCCTAGCACTGGGGCAATAGAGGCAAGAGGATCCGAAGTTGAAAGTCATCCTGCTACATAGTGAGTTTGAAGGCTAGACTGAGACATGTGAGATGCTATCTTTAAAAAGTAAGGCAATGGGGGCTGGAGAGATGACTTCGTGGTTAAGAGCACTGAGTCCAGAAGACCCAGATTTGATTCCCAGCACCCGCATGGCAGCTAACAACCATTCCTAACTCCAGTTCCAGGAAATCTGACACCCTCTTCTGTTCTCTGCAGGCTTTGCATGGCATGGGTGCATATATATACATGCAGGCAAAACACTCATATACATAAAAACATTAATTTTTAAAAATAAGAAGGGAAAACTGGATATACCTGTCTATGTTGAAAGTATAACAACAGGGCTGGGGCAATGACTCGGTTAATAAAGTGCTTATAGATAAGCAAGCTGAGGCTCTGAGTTCAGATTCCCAGAACTCATGTGTAGAGCCCAGTGTGGTGGCTGTGATCTTAACAATGGAGAAGCGGGAATCAGAAACAGACGGATCCATGGAAGCTCACTGGCCAGCTAGTCTAGCCTACTTGATGAAATTCTAAGCTGGTGAAGAGATCCTGTCTCAGACAAAAGATAGAAGGCAACTGAGGGCCAACACCTAGGATTGTCCACTAAACTCCACACCTATGCTGTGCTTATACATACATGTGCACATACACACACACACACACACATACATACAAACAAGCATACACATGTATACTAAAACTTTAATTTAAAAGAATGTAAACAACAGAACAACAGGGACTCTAGGAGCTGATACTTTACATTTTATATAAATAGTCAAGGCTAGAGAATTCAATGGAGCCTTCCTTTTTTTGTTTTAATTTGTTATTTTTATTTTATGTGAATGAATGTACTATCTGCATGTATGTAAGTGCACCCGTGCAATGCCCCCAGAGGTTAGAAGAAGGTGTCGGATCCCCCAGAACTGAAGTTACAGACAGTTGTTAGCCATATGCAGGTCCTCTGTAAAAGCAGTCTGTGCTCTTAAACTGCTGAGCCATCTCTCCAGCCCCAGAGCCTCCAGTTTTAAAAATAAACACTTACTTGACATGATAGGCCTTAGCACAAATGGCAGAATGTATGAATTCCAATGGCGGGGGTGGGGGGTGGGGGGGCACCACTGAGGAAGTAGGTATAAAGATGATTAAGATTGATTAAGGTGTTTTATATGAAATACACAAAAATTCAATTAAAAATTTACAAAAATAAAAAAGCAGCAAGCTTTCTGGTACAGAAATGTCAACCTGGAGGGTTCAAGTGTAAGGTTCTCAGAGTATGTGAGCAGATGGGAACGTGATGGAAATGTCATGTTCGATCTCTGCAGCCATCTCATGCAAATCCTTCATTCCTCTGCCCTGTAGTTTTTCTATACCACTTGCCCAGGGGAATCCCAACCATGGAGCCATCCAAGGGTTCAGCTTCCTCCCCTCTGCTACTGGACAGTGGTGCCAAGGCAGACGGGTGGCCTCAGGCTTCTGTGAACTGAACTTTTCAGGGCTACCTAAAGAACTTGAACCTTAGGGAGCTTGGTCACAACTTCCTTTTCATGTTTTTCATCCTTCCCACCACCCCATTGCCTTTGTCATCATTTCATAGATGTCCTTACCATCTGTGTCACAGAAAACAAAACCTCCACCTCCCTGCCACCCCATCAACATGACCCCTTTCACCCGTATCTGTCCTTTTCCCTGTTTTCCTACCCCATTGGAAGAGCTGATCTTCTGCTTGGAAGCTAGTCCTTAACCTAGTACCTGCAGTAAAAGAGCAAGAAACATTGACACCTAAGAAAAGACTTTGGAACTTTAAAATGTAATTGCAGAAATACAGATGTAATACAAAGTTCAACAGATGAAGGTGAGGACACCTCCCAGAAAATAGACTACAAAAACAAAGAGCCAGGCATGACGGCTGTGATCCTGTCAACCTGCAGTCCGGGCATGACGGCTGTGATCCTGTCAACCTGCAACCCAGGCATGACGGCTGTGATCCTGTCAACCTGCAGTCCGGGCATGACAGCTGTGATCCTGTCAACCTGCAGTCCAGGCATGACGGCTGTGATCCTGTCAACCTGCAACCCGGGCATGACGGCTGTGATCCTGTCAACCTACAGTCCGGGCCTGATGCCTGTGATCCTGTCAACCTGCAACCCAGGCATGATGGCTGTGATCCTGTCAACCTACAGTCCAAGCATAATGGCTGTAATCCTGTCAGCCTGCAGTCCAGGCATGATGGCTGTGATCCTGTCAACCTGCAATCTAGGCATGATGGTTGTGATCCTGTCAACCTGGAATCCAGGCATGATGCCTGTGATCCTGTCAACCTGCAGTCTGGGCATGACGCCTGTGATCCTGTCAACCTGCAATCCCAGCACTCTAGGAGGCAGAAACCGGAGGACTGTACAAATTCAAACAAACCAACAAAGAGATGAAAACAGGAAAAAATGTTTAAAAATCATAAGACTAGCCAAAGATTGAATTATCAATCAAAAATAACTTAGGAAAAAAAGGACTTTTATAGAGTTAAAGTATACTAGTCTCCAAATTGAGAGGTCACACAGAATGCCAGGACAAAGGAGTGACAGCCAACTACAGTGTTATAAAAATACCAGAACAAGCCAGGCGTGGTGGCGGACGCCTTTAGTCCCAGCACTGGGGAGGCAGAGGCAGGTGGATCTCTGTGAGTTCAAGGCCAGCCTGGTCTACATAGTGAGTTCTAGGCTAGCTGGGGCTACAGGGAGACCCTGTCTCAAAAAGACCAAAAAAATCAGAATAATGAGAACAAAAAGAAGACACTAAAAGCTTTCATGGAGCATAAAACCAGTATTCTCCAAAGGAACGTAAATGATGATAAGGTTGGATTTCTGAATAGCAAGCCCTGAAACAAAACAGTGGAACAGTGTCTTAATTCTTTTAAAGGAGAAGATGGGGTATGTAACTCAGTGGGACAGCCTGTACCTATCACGCAGGAAGCTACAAATTCAATCACCATCATGGAAAACAAAAACAAAAACATGGTCAAAGAAAAGAGACGTA